TTGGAATGGATTTGGAATTTATCCATCTCTGAAATACATCCCAAAGACCTGGGAAAGGCAGATGATTACTTAATTTTTTAATCAAATTTGTATGCTGCTCATTGTGTGGCTCGAGATGACTCTGAGCAGTTTACAACATAATAAAATGTATGGATGTAAAAAAATAATTATAACCATAAAAACAAAATAAAATTACAAAAGATAAAAACAAACTAAAAGAAACCATGGGTTTAGAGTGGAGAGGTCTCTCACCTCCAGCCAACAGCTTCTCCTTCAGGATCCATACCACCCAGAATTGCCAGATTTTAAGTCATTTTCTGAAGGCCAGGAGTGAGGGGGCAGACCTCACCTCTTGTAGCAATTTATTCCAAAGTTTGGGGGGCCATGGCAGAAAAGGTTCTTCTCCTGGAGGTCACCTGCAATTTCTTGACGGATGGAGTCTGCAGTAGGCCTCTTTTGCCAGCCCGAGTGGAGTAGGTTAATCCAGTTGTGTAAGGTGACGCCTTGGATATCCTGGACCTATTCCAATTTATTGATAAATATAACATTGTTTTATGATGTTAAAAGTATGGCTGTAGGATGTAACTGTTTCAAGTAAAGCTGCCTTTTGCAATTGAGTGATGGTGATTATATTCAAATGGTTCTCTAGATGTTTTGTGATTGCACCAAGGCACCTATTAGTAGTGGTAATATCTTTGCTTTCTTTTGCAGCAATAATTTATTAGTAGGCCTTTGTACTTTGTTATTTTCTCTAGTTTTTTTCCTCTTTTCTTCTGCTGTCTCCAGATACTGCCAAGTTTATTATAGTTATTATTTTATATATACTTTAAAATATCTGTAGGCTGACTGTGCAAGAAACCATAATAATTTCACCTCCCATATCCTTGCTCCTTCCAATATTAAACCTAACAGATGTGGGCTGCAAAAATCCACATTATTTAGATGAGAGAAAAGAAATATAGAAAATACCAACTCTTTTCTGGATATAGTAGTCATCCAACTGTTTGCATCCTCAAATACCTTGCTTCAGCAATATTGCTTCCCCCAGTCCAACTCATAACCTCTGATAGTGTTAAAAAGTTGGGATCGACACAGATCTTGCTGACAGGATGGCTTGAATTGGATACTTCATGAATTAAGAATGCAGACATGTAATGAAAGAAGGGAAGTTTCAGAAAAATAAGTAAGAAAAAGTTAATGTTAGAATGGAGAAAAAAGAAAGGGATTTTGGGAATGTAGACTAATATCTTTGGTGGTTTGGAGAAAGTTAATTTCTAAGGACACACAAGTTATGTGGTTTTGAATCCCTAGTTTGCTCTAAGGGCATCTTCAGAGAAGGTCAATGTGCCAAAATATAGACAATTGAACCTGTGAAAAACCTGGAATATTTATTGCTCTTGTTGCAACCACGATTTGGATGCTATTTATTTTTACATAAAAACATGCTTCTGGTTTGTATATGGTATGTTTTGTTTATAACAGTTGATAGGCAGACATATGATAATTAAAACATGATGCAGGATTTCAATTGAGAAACAAGATGGACAGATTTGCCACTCTTTTCTTCACCATGCTATTTGCAACATGAACTGAATTACTTTTCTTCTTTCAGGAGAGTTCTGATTGCTATTTAGTTTTTCTTACTGTGGGTTTTCCATGTGATAGCAATCACATTTGCCAGAAATACTAAAACGAAATGTCAGTTTCAAAGAAAAGAAAACATAAAGGCTTACACCCTGTTGCAAATCTGGACACTTTACAAATCTAAAGAGACATTCCAGTAGCAATGCGAATAAATGAAGTACTTTTGGATAGAAGCAGCAAATGACCATTGCAAAGTGATTAACTTAGTCCTCTTTTTTTTAACAAGAAGGAAAAAAACAAGCTTCAAACAAGGATAATGACAAAAACTAAAACAGAAAACAGGAAATTGGAAAGGGCTTAAAAAACAAAATTAATGGGGAGAAAGGGTCCAACCCAAATAATTACTTTAAGGAAGTACTAGTAGTTTGTGTGCACTTCAGTGGGTTTGTCATAGCAGATACCCATGCTAGATAATATTGGTGCTGCTAAAATTCCAGCTGATTTTGCAATGAAACTTCTCCGTGTTGTGCTAAGTTGTATGTGCGTACAGAACTAGTTGTGTGAATTATGGCCTTGCATTTCATCCATAGACCAGTCTTTAGAATTTCTAATTACAACTTTCAAGTTGATGTACATAAATGTCTGTATCTAATTCTATGACTTTAATATTCAACTTCTAAAGTTATCCTCCCAAATCATGATGAAATTCTACAAAAAAAGCATGTATGTATGTATGTATGTATGTATTTATTTATTCATTCATTTATTTATATATATCGTTCTGTTTATTTTGGCTCAAAACATTTTATCAACTTGTTTAAAATGAAAAACAAGAATTAAATAGTGCTGCAACTTAATATAATTTTCCAAGCTACACTATATTTGTAAAATCTACCTTATCATACCCAGCTCTGCAGGAAAAGTAGGCACTTGGATCAATTATTGATTAATTATTAAGTGTATAACTACAGGCCATTATTTATCATAACACACAAAGCAAAATGAAAAAGAATCACCTTCATCTTCAGTTAGTAATACAGAATATTTATAACATCATGTGAGGGAATTCCATTTACAGCAAATTTCAATGGCATTCAGTTAGTTGACCTGTTAAGTTTAAAGTTGCTGCAGTGAAAGAATTCACTGATAACAATAAATGGTAGTTTGTCCTCATCTTAATATTGATCAACCATATTCCAAATATGTGGACTTCAACTCCACAAATCCACCAAGAAACATGGCCATTGCTAAGACTTGTGGGAGTCCGAAAATTTGGAGAGTACTCATGTTTCAAAAGACTGATGTAAAAGATAGGGATCTATCCTTTGAGGAACTCTTGCCAAAGCAATGGATAAGGGACAGGGTAGCAAACAAACATAGTATAATAAACAGTAGTGTAACGTTTCTGGGCAGAGACTAGAATTCCTTTGGCTCTCAGGTGTGCATGCCAAACTGAAAAGTTGCAAGAATATGAGGAGAGAAGAAGATAAGGAGAGTGTGTGGCCTTGCCTTGCCTTCCTGCCTACATTTGTTTGTAATTCCTTGAGCCCTCCATTAATAACTAGGCAGACATGGTTTAATGCAGTCATCATGTATGAGATGCTTTGTTGCACTAGTTCATCTTATATCTCATTGCTCAACTGTTCTTTGAATTGTTCTGTTAAACTTCTGCCATTCCAGGCCACATCTTTTGCCAGCAACTGAAATGTTGTAACTTATTCTTTTATTGAACAGCTATCCTGTTGGGGGCAGTGATTCTTACAGTTAGCTGTCACTGGCCTACCAAGATGTGCAATATTATATCTCTAATGTGCAACAAAGTCATCAAAGTTTCTAAGATTAGACTAGCCTGGATCAGTAAGAGGCTGGCTATTTGGCCTATCAATCGTGAAAAAAACTGCAGGAAGATGATGGTTGACAGGATGGGAATTTGAGGATGTGGTGCACCAAGAGTGTTCCCTGTAAGTTTTAGGACTCTTTCGTACCCTCCAAATTGGAATATCTTCAAAGGGGTTGGTGATTTTTAAGAAATACTAAACATCTCCAAGTTTCGATATGCTCAATCTCATAGGTGGCTTGAATGTCAGCATCCCTTGTTTTACTTGATTTCCTTTATGGAGAAGGTATTGCTATTACATTAATAAAGAAATCCTCAAGTTTCCATCTGTGGAGAGTCTACCAGCATATTTCATCAGCATCTCCTTTTTATCAAGGTGGACCAGATGTCCCACTCTGTTCCCAATTTTGTCCCCCCATTAGAAAGGTACTGCTCAGTAAAATAGGTCACCACCCCCCATCTCCCTTTTCTTACCAGTCTGTCAATTGCACATTATGTCAATATTGATAACTGTCAATAGCTATGCAGAGTGGTCACAGCTTTTATCTGGCAGTAAGGATCAGGGAGAGAGCCCCTCATATGACAGATGGAATGAGTGGGAGAGGGGACAAGCAGGAAAGAAAGTTCACTCTTTCTATCCCACCACAACAGCTGGTGAGGAAAGACTTGGAGAAGGACCATCTTGGATAAGGAGAAGTGTGATTGATTTCTTTCATGCCGATGAATTGTCTCCTCTCCCACCAATTCTGTCTGTCATGTGGGGGCTGGATCTGCACCTCTCTCCCTGATCCTTACTGCTAGACAAAATTCTGCCATATCAAAATTGGAGTGATAGTTAAAGCTTCTGCAACAATTTATATTTTGTTCACCTTTTCCAGAACTTAATGGAAACCTGCTTTACCCTAGTCACAATCTACATTAAGAGGCAAATGCTTATTCACATTCTCTACATTTCTTTCCTAAGAAAGGAAATATTGGTATTTGGTGGACAAAATCAAATACTTAGATATACTATGTATCACTCCCCCTTAGTTCTGTAATCTACAAAATAAGTGAAGAAAACAATAATATGTGCCATGCCCCTGGTGGAGACTGACTCTGAGGGAGAGGAGAAACAGCCAACAGGGAGTGGAAGTGTGGCTCCGGAGGTTGTGGAGGAGGCTGGGGAAGGGCAGAGGCCGGCTGGGCAGTCAGAGGAGGACCCAGGCCCATCCCCTCTCCATCCTAGGGCACGCAGAGAAGAGAGGATAAGGGAGATACGTGGTCTCTGGGGAGGAGAGGGCCTTGAGTAGGGCCTTCATGGGCTGCAGCTGTGACAACTGGATAAGAGGACGGACATGCGTAAGGGCAAGTGCTGGAAACAAAGCGTGGAACTATCTCTAGTTTATTGTTCCTCTCTGAGTTTGGTGTCCTTCCCAGTGTGTATTCTGATGTCTGTGGATGTCTTCAAGCCGTTATCTTGCCTTGTTTGTGTTGTGTTTATTCTTTATAATTTAAACAGCATTTCCTCCTTCTTATAACTGCTTGTGTGGGACTTTTTGGCTCCAGTCAAGGATATTTGGAGCTTGGAAGCAAAGTGAAGGAATAAAAGGGGCTTCACCTGTTTTTTGTGACTGTGTTTATTTTGTATCACACCATGGGTCATCACAATATGTTTGTCCATATCATTTGTGTCCTTCCCCCACTCATATGTGTTCCTTTTCCACTCAAGCTATCCCCCACCCTGGCATTTATATATTTGGCCTGCAAGTTATGTCCCTTCAATGTGATTTATATTTTATCAATAGTTGTAGTCACCCAAGCAAATTCAATCTGGTCAGAATTTTGTTTTATTAGGAAATGATGAAATGTCAACCACGGACATTTGACAATAGATCAATCAGTTTGAAAATGGATTGAGTACTTATCAACATTTACTAAGAAGCAACTTCATAGCCTGTATGTTCCATTTTTAACTTGATGATTGGTGGAAGGGAAGACTGATCTTTGACTGAATACTGACACAGAGATGTGCTTTTTCACATTTTTTTTTCTGTTACAAAACTACGGAAATCACATACTCCAACTCTGCCCTGAGGATGATTATAATTTCTGGAAAACTTTATATGACTTCCTCAAAAAACACATATTTCTATTAATGGCACAATAAATCCTTGTTACTTGCAGAATCCATATTATCATCACAATAAATACATGCATGACTGGCACAATACTTTTTTTAAAAAATATGTCTTGTAAATTTACTATATAGCTATATAAAATTTCAGAAAGGTCAAGAAAATCTTTCTGATGGGCTGCAAATCAATAAAGAAAATTTAACCAATTAAATTATTGTTGATTAAATTTTCAGAATTCTGACTTCAGGTTTGGGCTTCTTTGGTGACGGACCAAAATCGTGATCATCTGCGGTTTTGATCCGTGCCGCTCGCAGCCCAGATTCGGGGCTGAAGCCATCCTGTAGAGGTGGTGAAGAAGGGGGAGCTGTCAGCGGGGTTGAGGAGAGCCGCATCTCTCCTCCTTGGCTGGCCATTACTCCCTTTCCCACAGGGGGTTGCAGCGGTGGTCAGAAATGGCCACCTCAAAGAAGAACCCAACTGGACAGGATTGTGCAGGAGGAAGTTTAAAGGAGAAAGTTTGACTGACTGGGTTGAACAGAGAATATCTATCTAAGGTACCTGGAACCTGAATTTTAAAGACTAATACTATTCCTAAAAAAGATTTTAAGCTGCGAAAGAGAAAGGGAAAGGAAACAGAATTGGCTTTTTTTCCCTCTCACATTGACAGTTTTAACTGACTTGGAACATTAAGAAGAAGAGATTTGAATAAGAAATTGATACTAATCCACTTTGACATTAATAGGCTATTTCTAGTTGAAAATAAAGTGTCAAAGGGATAAAGATTCTTGGATAATTTAAAAACTTTATTTAAAAAAAGAAAGAAAGCAGCGGAGGAAAAAAGGAAAAAAGAGGGTGGAATCTGGAAAATGGAGAAGACCACCTGGAACTTAAAAAAAATCTATAGTGGAGTTTTAACAAGGCTTGCAAAAGATACATTGTAGCTGAAACTTTGTTACAAGATAACAAAGCCCCTGGAAAGAGAAAGTGAGATAAGAAGCAAGAAACAGTTTTGGATTATTGGATGATTCCTGGAACTTTGGATGGAGGATCCTAATGAAATAAAATAAAATCAATTGGGGGTTGTTTAAATTTTTTTAAAATGGCATCACTCCTTGAAGAGTTAAAAATGAGACTTAAAGAACAAAAAGAAGAAGCACAAGATGGAAGAGGATCTTTTGGTTTCGTATTTCAATTTTTAGAAATGGAGATCTTGAACTATGAAAAACAACAAGAAACGCTGGCAGAACAAGAAGGGCGGGACAACAAAGAAGCCATCTTTAATGACCAAGCAATTTTAAGCAGGGTAAAAAAGGGAAAGGGAGTTAAAAACGTAAGCAGTGAAGCAACAACCAAAAAAAAAGAGTAATTTGAAAAGTAATCATAATATCAGGAAGAAGCAGAAGGGAGGATCACAGAAGGGAGAATTAGATAGAAATGGGAATAAAAAGGGGAAGGAGAAGAAGAGAGGGAAGAGGGAAAGGAAAAGAAGCTACAAAAGACAGAAACAAGATATAGAGGTACAGCAAAAGCGTACAAGAATTAAAGGTATAAACCTATTTAAAAGACACAGAGACAATGGTTAAAATTTAACTTAAGGAGAGGATTCTGCAAGGGTGCATGGGATAGCATTGTTATATTAGAAATAGAAAAGGGTTAGAAAATATGTTAGATGATTAAAGTAATTATTTTATGTAAAACATTTAAGTTGATTGATCTTGATGTATTGGTAAGCAAATGGAGAATTCAGAATGTGTACATGGAAACTTCAGAGGGTTTCCCCCCATTTTTGATTAAATACATAACTTTTTAGATTGAAATAGTGGCTCAAATACTTTTGTACTTTTAATACTTTGTATTAAATATATAGTGTCATTTTCTAAAACAATTATTTCAAACTCTTCCATGTTGATGATAGAAAACAACATCCTTCGACTCACTACAAAGAAAATTCCATAATTCCACCTAATAGCGTAACTTCTGTGTATCTATTCAATTAGGTATTTTGTGAAGTATTTAAACTAGAAAGGAGATTAGTAATCCAGTTAATTGTGACAGGCAAGCCAATTAGCAAGCCAACTAAAGAATGAATGATGTTGACAAGAAATCTTCAATTATGTTTGCAACACAGAGCTTTAATTTCTTACCCAAAATTCTGCTCAACAGTTTGTTCTTTTTCAGGTAATTGCTGCAGTCTTAAAACTGTTTACTGTGATTGCACAATGATCAATATTATTGATTACTTTGGGGCAACTAGTCCAGCTATCTCTGCTACAATCAATACAATTGGCACAGACAAGTTATACAGATATAACAATGTTTGTTTAGTTTCTAATTAAGGCAAGAAGTGCTGGTGTTTTTGCTTAGTTTTTTTCAGGGTTAAAAATTTCCTTTCTCACTAAGGAATTGTATTGACTATTTTTGTTTAGTGAACTAACAAAATCCCAGCTGTGATTTAGGAAATGTCAGTTAATATTTGGAAATTTGGTACTTCTGTATGTTCCCCAAACTTAAGCTGAATAAAATGTAACATCTAAATGATTTTGGAGGTGGAAAAGTCATTATATTTCTTCTCTTAACAGAATAATGGAGTTGGAAGGTACTTTGGAGGTCTTCTAGTCCAAACCCCTGCCCATTCTGAACAAATGGCTATCCAATGTCTTATTAAAAATTATTTTAAAAAAATCCAGTAATGGAGTGCCCACAACTTCTGAATGCAAGCTGTTGCACTGATTAATAATTCTATCTGTCAGTAAAAATGAGATGTCTTTTGTCATAAGGAGGGCTTCTTCCTTATAAGGAGAGGCAGCCCATAGCAACCATCATCCCCAAACAAGCTTTCAACTCCTCATTGTGTGCAGAGCCAATTAGGAAGAGAAGATTGGTATCCACACAGCTCGTGGGGAAGGACTTGTATGCATGTACCCAGAACCCTTTCCATATGCAATGGCCTAACTCACGTCTGCCCTAAAAGCCACAGCTGTCTCACTCTTCTTGGCTACATCAGAGCTTGGAGAAACCCCAGAAGAAAAGCTGGGGTACAAGTTTTCTTCACAAGTTTGCATAAACATATTATGATCTATGTAATACCATTTTAGGGACATGGGAAATTGCAAATTTATAGTGTGATTATACATTTACAGAGTTCCTTTCCATATATTGTAGTAACTATAATGGAGTAGAATAATGTATAATGTTTAGCCCTTGAGATAAACCTAAACAGTTTAATGTATACAGTTTAATGTATACAGTAATACTTTTCTTTATGGGGAAGATCTTTACAGATAGGTCAACCTTCATAAAGACAACTCATAATCTCTTGGATCATCCTTCTTTCCACATACAATATAGGCTGGCACCATTTCTCTCTCCTCGTGACCCTCAACAAAGCCCTGGTGAAGCCTTGTTCTCCTGCTACTTTTCCTCCTTGACTGACCCACAGAACTGCTGAGGGCAGGTTTAACATAACAATGAGAGACAGGGACCATGAGGTCCCTCAAGAGCGCTCTCTCTCTCTCCAAGAGGTAACTGATGCCCCCAAGTAGTCCTAATTGCCAGCAAGTATCTGAATTACTCCTCAGGGTTTTGAAATTTCAGGCTCCAAAGTAGCCAGTCACCATTTCCCATTGGGCCTTGTTTCCAACTGATTGAGCACAGGGACCAGAGGGAAGTGACAAATAGAGATACAGCCATGATTATTATGTTACCACAGCTGATCACAGTAATGTGGTGGCATGGAAGTATGGTGGCCCTGAAGTGGTCACCATGTTGCCAAATTTAATCCCATAGGAGTTCATGGGTCCTGGATTTTGGACACATTCTGTAAGTTAGCCCATTTGAAATTTCTATTAACTCAAAAATAGTGCCCACCGTTTGAAATTTCTATTAACTCAAAAATAGTGCCCACCATTTCATCCAATTAAAGGTTACAAAGAGACAAACAGGAGAGTTTTAGTAGTATATGGATAATGGTTTTGTTGCATGTATCACAAAGGGGAAAAAAAGTAATACTACTTTAGCATTGTCCAGTAGCATCTTAAGAGTGTAGCAGAAATTGAAATACAAGTATCTTAAGCAGAAAAAAAGAAGCAATAGCATTGTTGTTCATTGATGCTTAACTTGCATCTTCTTTTTCCTGGTAGACTGAAAGTGAATACATTACTAAAAGTAGTTCAATTTTAAAAGATAACAAAAATACATTCACTCTATCATCTTGACTTCACCCCCTACTAGCGGGAGCAAGCAATGAGAATCTTTTCTTGTTGAAGGCAGAGAGAAAAGGGCTTCCCTAAGAGGTACAGCAACTTTCTATAATAGTAAAACCTTTCTAAGAGCTTTCAGTATGGCTACAAGATTGTCTGAATGAACTACACTATTGACTGGAAGACTGTGCAGATAGAAAGCAAAATGACTCTCTCTGTATGTTTATACATATGTGGAACGTTTGACTAGTCATTGCTCAAATAAAATTGCAAATACATTTTTTTTAAAAAAAAAAATCACACTCACCTTGTGCTCATAGAAAAAATTTCATATAACTTGC